GTTTTCACTTAATAAGCCAGGAATAAAATCAGTTACAGTAAGTGGAAGAGAGGAAATCATAAAGAAAAAAGATGAAATAAATAAGATGGGAAATGGACAAACATAAAAAAAATCAAGGAAACAAAAAGCTAGCTCATCGACAAGATCAATAAAATTGATATAAAGCTCTAGCTAGACTGATCAAGAAAGAAAACCACAAAAACACAAGATTAGAAGTACAAACAATATCATAAAAGAAAGGACATGATTACAGGGTCTACAAACAGTAAACAGATAATAAGGAAATATTATTCTTATGGGTTGAATTGTGTCTTCCAAAAAGATACGTTTAAGTTCTAGCCCTGGCACCTATGAATGTGACCTTATTTGGAGATAGAGTCCTTGTAAATGTAATCAACTTAGGATGATGTCACTAAAGTGGTCCCTAATCCAATAGAACTAGTGTCCTCATAAGAAGTGGAAACGGCATGTAAAGACAGAGACACACAGGTAAAAATACCATGTGATGACAGAGGCAGAAATTGATGAAGGCAGCTACAAGCCAAGTAATGGCAAGGATGGACAGCCACAACCAGAAGCCAGGAAGAGGCAAGGGAAGTTTCCACACAGTCTCAGAGGAAGCATACTGACACCTTGGTGTTGGACTTCTGTCTTCCAGAACAGTGAGGGAATACATTTCAGTTGTTTTATGCCATCAGATTTGTGGTCCTTTGTTACTGCAGCCCTAGGAAACTAATACAACTTGGAAAATAATATACCAATAAATTTGAAAATTTAAACAAAATGGACAAATTTCTTGAAAGATAAAAATTATCAAAATTGACAAGAAACAAAAGGTCTAAATAGCCCTAAGTCTATTAAAGAAATGGTATTCCTAATTGGATGCCTTCTCCCAAAGAAAATTTCAGACCTAGATTATTTCACTAGTAAATGTGATCAAACATTTAACGAATGAAAATATAAATCCTATCACCCCAACAGATAGATATTAAAAAAACGCCACATGACTATTGTGGGAGATCAAGATTTGGCCACCCTGAAATCTGTCTCTTTACCTTGGTTGTTTTCTCTAGGGACATTTGACTTCCCCCACTAACTGCCTAAAGAATTTGACATGGTGGCTCCTTCCTGGAACAGATCTATCATGATGGCT